TAAATTACAAACATTTACTTGTAATGCGGTACAATTACTCGTGTGTGACGATTATTTACAGAAAAGAGAAAAGAAACGATCGTTGACGTCGGCAGCGCGACGTTTTCGACCAAGTTAAATCTCCACCCGTTGGGAGTGCAATCGTTCGACGACGAATGGATCGTATTCGCGACGGGCCGGTCGACGGGCGCGCGCTGACCACGAGTCGGATCGTTGCGTCGTCGATGACAGCGTGGATCGGTTCGTCGTTGGAACCGTCTTGTTGAAATGCAAACGGGTGCTTCTCGAAACGTCCGAACAGCGTCCGGCGTACTGCTCGTTTCTCTACAGGAGGAAATCCATTTGGACCGTGGTACGATCAGTTCTAGCGATTCGCTATCGTGATCGGATCCGACACACTGCGCGTGTCGTTTGAAAAGTAATAAGACGAACAAGACGAGGGAGCAGAGAAACGAGAATTCGAGAAGAACGAAAATGCGCTCAATTTGGTTCCACCTTTTTTCTTTTTCAATGTCTTTTTCTGTTTTTTGTTTTTATATATATATATATATATACATATATATACACACTTATGTGTATATGTGTATATATATACCTTTTCTTGTCCTTGTCTTTTCGTTTAAGAAGGCTACACATCTCTCGGCTAATACATTGTTTGTCGTCGTTCCGACGGAGTTCATCGAAAGGAAATCAGCATTCGATGACAGGCAGATCGCTCGCAAAGCCGAACACGTGCTATACTATTGTTTTCCCGTAAAAAGTACATCGCGGATCGCGATCGATACCGGCACGAAAAAATATCATAATCACACTGTGCACACCTGTTAATGGCCAACCCCGCGCCACGAGCTGCAGGACAGCTAATATTCTGTTCGCGATCGTTCTCCATTCGCGGGTTGTCGAGCGCGACGCAACGACGAGCTGAACGACCGAGACGATTCGCAACGAAACCGTGGCACTCGGTTCGAAATGAAACGAAGTGGGGGAGAAGAAAACGAAGAGCGCAATCTCGACGGTAAGTGAACGGAACTGAACGTCAAATTGGAATTGAACACGCGGGTTTGTTCCGCGAACCGGTTCTGTTCGTTTGCGCGATACCGCGATTCGTTCTACCGCGCGCGAAACAAATGATCGCGTCCCGTTGTCGCGTACAGGTATTAACTTTTTTCTTTATAACCGTTAACTTTCGCAATCGTCTCGTTCGCCGGTCACGTGCTATTTTCGTCGTTTAAAATCAGTCGCACTGCGAGTAGAGGGTACCGGCTACGTAAACGAGGAACACGTATAATAAATATTGAATAACAGTTTGGTACTTATAGTAATACGAAGTAGAATGCAGCATACATATAGCATAGCAGTAGCCACAGATAGTACCTACCACGTACGAGTTTGTCACATTCATACTTAACTTCTTTTATAATCATCGGTTAGTTGTCTCACGCTCTTCACTCTGTTTATCGAATATAGTCTCTCCACTTGTTCTCCCTCCTCTTGCTCACGCTCTTTCTCTCTGTCCCTCTCTCTCCCTCTCTCACTCTCTCTCTCTTTCTCTCTCTGTCTTTCTCTCAGGTTCCACTTGTGTCTCTTTTACGCTCTCTCCTGTTCTTCACGTCACGCTTCTTCTCACGCGTACGCATTCCTTGTCTTTACAAGTGTCTCTTAGATTCAATCCCGCCTCCTTTCCCGTCTCATGTTCTTCGTCACGTATCCACGCAGGCATACACACAGACAGGCAGGCTGGACAGGCAGACGGATAGCACACGCACACATACAGGCAGGCATACATCTATTCCCTAACTCCGTCTTCATTTCCTCGTGTGTCGATATCGTCGTTCGTTCAATCGGAAAAGTTACTGCGACCTTTCATTCGGCTTAATCATTCATCAATCCACCTGAAAAACTTTGACAAGTGTAATAGGATTCCCTTTCCGATTTCGATCAGTCTGTTATTTGTCCGTCATAACACAAACAATATAGACTTTTCAAAATGTCCAACAATGTCTATTAACATCCCGTAGCTATTCACACACTTTCGAAACCATCTTCTCCATCTCAACATCCGTGTCGATGTCGTGATGGACGTGATTGCTCGTGCTGCCGTTGTTCACAGAATTACTGGTTGACGTAGAAAGTGTAGTAGCCGGTGGTGCCGTCGACGTCGGTGTCGTTGTCAGTGTATCCGGAGTGCCGGATAATTCTATGGGAGAGCCTGGAGACGCAAGGGGTTCCACTAAATCCTCTAATCCCTCGGGAGTCGGCAGCTTGTTCAACTCTTCTCTCAATAATCTATAGTGCCTCTGAAACGTTCACGCGACAATTAGAAATGTTTCGCGATGAGAAACATGAAAATCGCGAGATCACTTACCCTCAAAGCTAAGGCGTTAAAAGAAAGGGTACGGCCAAACCTACGATCCGTCCCATGCATTTCCATGTCCCTTATCCACCCTTCTAATTGTGCGACGATTTCGTGTCTCTTTATCCAGAAGTGGGTATGTATAATCTAAAAGATCGAAATCGTCCATATGAAATTCTTTCTCGCTAAACTTTCAAGTTCGCTTAAGTTTCAAGTAGTTAAGTACTTACTTCTTTGAAACATGGGCAAGGATTACGAATTTGATCAAGCATCGCCCATTTCGCAGTAGCCTGACAAATGTTCGCATTGTATTCTTGACTAGATTGGGCTCCGCTCGTCGTACCTCGTGACCGTTCGTATCCTGGCTCGTTGAAG